GGAATTGCCAATAAAAATTTAATTACCTAAATGAGCAATTATATTTTCTTTAATTAAAGCTGTCAAAAAACACGGCAGCGGCACAAACTGTTTTCATTGTCAACTTGATGACTTATTATTTGTTCATCCGCAGATCCTTTCCTGCTCGAAGGCCACCTGCACGAGCAGCATCATGAACATTGGCAATGCGGCGGTGGAGGCCCGAAAAACGGACCTGATCCTGGAGCATGCCAAGGACTTTTTGGAGCAGTACTTTACCTCGATAAAGCGGTGAGTGGGAGTAATTAAATTAAATTTGCATTTAAGAGGGCATAGCTTTTGAAAACCCCAAATAAATTAGAAGTCTTCATCTCGTTGAGTTTTTGTAAGAAACTGATTTTATTCCATTCAAACCCTAGCTTATATAGCTAACATGAGAATGTACATTGTAGATCTTAGTTCTAGACCCACGCATCGGACAGTTCTCGATCGTGAGAAATATTTTAAGTACGATAAGAGTGCACACAGGCAACTCGATAGCGCATATCTTAAACAAACCCAGACCGCTCACAGGAGGTCATATTTCGGGTTACTTGTTACATAGTCTCAAGTGGCGGTTGTATTAATAGATAGATATGCACATACAAGTGCTAGGCCGTGCTCTGCTGCTGGGACTTAATCGCTAACAGATGCTTCTTATCTAAAACCGTGTTCATGTTTGAACAGCTTTAATAACAATTATTCTTAGAGCCCGTTTCATCAACAGGTTTTTATAGATGGTTTTGGGGTTTTCTGCATAAATAATTAATCATGGTGAGAGTGACTTTTGTTATCCTTTATCTCGGTTGCAGTACATCATCCACCGCCCACGAAACGCGCTGGAAGCAGGTGCGCCAAAGCATTGAGACCACGGGTCATTATCAGCTAACCGAAACCGAGCTGATTTACGGAGCCAAACTGGCCTGGCGCAATTCTTCACGTTGCATTGGTCGGATACAGTGGTCCAAGCTGCAGGTGGGTCTTTAAAAATAACAGAAAATATTCTTATATTCAAGAAAATATGATGATAGTCTAGGAGTGAATCAAGCCACATTTAACAAAAGCAAGCGACATCGATTTATCAGACTTTCTAAACCGAGTTCATGACCTCTCCAGCTCTCAACTCTCAGCGGCTTTCATCATCTACCACAAAATATGATAACAATTCATCAGGGCATATTTAGGCTTAAATGTGTGCAATTCAACGAAATAGTCAAGCAAATTTGTCAGAGCACAAATCACAGATATATATAATTTGTGTGCTTATGTCTCTGCCACATTATTCTGGATTTATGCCTTCTTCTCGCAAAACAAATGTCGGAGGCGCGACAAGGAGTCAGAGCAGAAAGGGAATAATGCTAGACAAAAAACAAAGAGCAGACATTTGAAATGCAAATCCTCGTAAATTTTAATTTAGCCAAAAAGAAATATTCCTCCTCCTAGGGGGTAGTATGTATACACAAATACAAATTATAATGATGATCAGCAGTATAGTTGGCTGTGGGTGTGCGCCTGGCAGTGTGTGAACAGATTTGCATTTCCATCTGAATGACTTGGGTGTATATGTTCAGGAAAACTGAGAACTTTTAGGATGGAAGAAGAATGTAGAAGCAAGGAGATTTTCCTGGAGACAAGTAGGAAAAGGTGACACTAAAGTCACCTTCAATGTGTGTGCCTTGTCAAGCAAATTATATATCAAGAAATTTGAAGAAACAAGTATTTGCTTTCTGTCTGTAATTTTTTGCTTGAATTCTTGAGGAATTTAATAAAAAATAGATGGTACTTTGAAGTAAATATACCAATTAGTAAAAAATAAAATGATATTACATATATTATATAACAAAAGAAGGCTAGAACATCCTTTAGAGAAACAGTTTGACCCGAAAATCTAAAAAGAAAGGCAAATCAAACTAAAAATTTCTTTTATAAATTTTACAAATACGTTTTAAATTGTAAAGTTAAGTTTTTAAGGCCAATGAAGTAGGGGTTTCCCCCTTGTTCACTTAACAAAGTTCTTTCAACTAAACTTTGTATATTAAATAATAATTTGTATTAAAAACTTATCTCCACTTTCCTCTCTTTTTGTGTATAAAAACCTTTGCCATGTTTTTATAATGTTACAGGTTCATAATTTAACTTTATTATGTGATATTTCATTGAATTAAAAAAAGAGCCGGCAAAAGTTATCCAATACCACTTAAACATGTTTTTCATAAAACAAAAAAAGAGTGTGGAAAACTTTGCTTTAAATGAAATGAGATATGTGTGGGCAAAGCACTTAAAAAGGGTTTTTGGTTTCGACCGCTTTCCAAACTTAATTAGGAAACTCGTTTTACATTGGCAACGCCCCCCCTTGGGACGACGACAACCAAAACAGGGCCAGAAACCAACACAGCAGAAAATCGAATGAAGAGAGGGGCTATCCGGGTCGCTTCCTTGGAAGCCAGAAAATGAATTTCAGTTTCAAGTGGCGGCTGCCACATAGAAATCCCATAAAGCCAAATGTAAGGACTCTGGCCTAGTCCAGTTCAAGCCCCAAAAAATAGGTAAAAGCCACAAAAGCAGGTGTGAAAAAAACAATTGTAAAGGCCCGGCAGGAGATAACACAGGCGAAAGGGAATCGAGAGTGAGAAGCTGAAATATTGCTGAAAAAATTTATTGAAGCGTAATAATTGAAAAAGGGTTTCAATGTATGAACAAGTTGTGAACAACTCTCCCTACATATCTCCCCCACTCTATTATGCGACCTCATGCCAGAAAACAAAGCAAATATGGAAGTTACATAGAAATTTATGTCACATTTATCATACGCCCCGTTGGACGGCTGTAGAGCCTCCGGGGGAGCCGGAGCTCCTCCCCTTTGGCACTTAAAATTCATGAAAAAACAATTGTTGTGACTCTTAGTTTTGTGCACAGCAAATACCGTTGATTTTGTATTTTCTAGCTGCTGCCAGAAGCCAGATTTTAAGCTAAATTTTCACATGAAAAGCCCCCTCAGGGGTAGAACGATTTAATGCTCAATGTTTCTATATTTTTCTGTATATTTTCCACAGGTATTTGATTGCCGTTATGTGACCACTACAAGCGGCATGTTTGAGGCCATTTGCAACCACATTAAATATGCCACAAATAAAGGCAACCTGAGGTAAGGTCAAGTTTAATATAAAAAATAATTGTACATACATATATATTCGCTTTTCCTTTGAACAATTAACACTCACAGTACTCATTATAGTTCGCACATTTACCAGCCAGGCTTAATTGCCTGGCTTATGCTAATTATGGAATACACAGAATTTTTAGTTATTCGCTAATCGCAACTAGAGCTGCACATAATTTTCAATATTTTCCCATATACATATGTATGCTCTCTGGCTCATAATTTCAAATTTTCCAATAATCTACTCCGATGCGCGGCAGGCGTCAGTGCGTCCGTGGATGTGTTTGCGGAAAATGATTGGCAAATTATGTTTTTGCCCTGCTAATTGGCCGAATTGAGAGAGAGGAGTGCCAAATTTGTTGCCATGAATATTTTGAGCGCCACCCAAAAGTCATTCCATTCTCTCCACTTGGCATTGCACTTTTGACTTTTCACGCACATTAAGAGGGAAAGCGTTGTTTTGGAAAAGTTTTAGATTGAACTTTGTACAAACTTTAACGCGGAAAATTGTTTAATGTTTTGATTGCGTATTTTCGTTATTCTCCCAGATCGGCCATTACGATATTTCCCCAACGGACAGATGCCAAGCACGATTATCGCATTTGGAATAATCAGTTAATTTCGTATGCGGGCTATAAGCAGCCTGATGGAAAGATCATTGGGGATCCCATGAATCTGGAATTTACAGAGGTGAGTGAAGATTTTAAAGAGGAAATATATTTACTAAGATGTTTTTAAAATTCTTGTAAAAATTAAAGAAACCCCTATGCGGTTTAACATTTAATCCACCTTCCCTTGCCGTTCCCGAGAGTTGATTTCAACTTCCAATTATATACTCGACTCGAGCACGTTTCGGCTAGGTCCAAAACGGTCAGCCTTATTTATACACATACTTCCGTGGCGTAATCCAGCTATCAATTTACATATCGCACTCGCATAAATATATTTTTCCTCAGCCATCACAATATTTACACGCCTCAATTGCTGCCAGCCGCCTGCCTTTGAAATCTGTCTCCTCCGCTGTTTTCCGGGAAGTGTGGGCTATCCGACGGATGCGACCTTTGTCGAACCAACAAGTTGGAAAAGCCCCAGAGAGGCTGCCAGCAAGTTCGCTCTATAACTCGTTGTAATAAATCTCTTTTTAAATACGCAAAAACCGAACAAACAACAAAGCTGTCAATAAATACGAGCACAAATGCGGCAGCAGATGTTGCCACCGGATTGGGTGGCATATGCGGGATTGGCTGTGGGTTCAGCAACTCCACCAAATACCGCCCTCGCCCTGATGTATTTGCATATAAACCTAGCTACTAGGCAGCCAGGCAGTCCACCACCAAAGTATCTCCATTTATTTTTACACATGTCACTTTTTATGTCCGCCGCCGGCGAGCTCATGTCGATTTTCGATTCCGATTCACATTTATTTGATGTCCAATCCCATCTCTATCCATCAGGTCTGCACCAAGCTGGGCTGGAAGAGCAAGGGCACCGAGTGGGACATACTGCCGCTGGTGGTATCGGCTAACGGTCATGATCCGGACTACTTTGATTACCCGCCGGAATTGATATTGGAAGTGCCGCTGAGTCATCCCAAGTGAGTAGGCTGCATCCATAAATGCAGATTTTACTTACAGCAAATATTATTTATTCGGGGGTAAGCGAAGGTTTTATTTTTGCTAATTTATCTCGGAAGATATAAGAAGAGAAGAAGAAGAATCCGTCTTAATGTCTAGAATATATTCTTAACCATATATTTTATGCTTTTCTCAGAATATTATATATTTCAAAACTTTACTGCTTCAGTAAAAAAAAACAAGCTGTTTTAATAGTCAGCAACTCTAGCAAAACCAATCCTGTTTTGGCCCTTGTCAAATGCCGTGTAGAACTTGCCTATAAAGACATCCCCAAGGATCCAGAGCACGTTCCCCTCCATGTAGGTAAAGGCCAGCATGCAGTAGGTAGTGCCACTCTCCGAAAACTTGACCACGTAATCCCTGGGGGCCAGGGTGAAGACGGTCCCACCAATAAGGAAATTGATTTTCGGCAAGGATGCAGTGCGCCCACAGGCGACAAAGGCCTCGCCTGCGCCGTTGGTTGTGGCCCCCGACAAACTAACGATCTTCTTGAAGGCCGCCAAAGGGACCACGATTAAGGAGGTGCCCGTATCGGCAATGGCCTGGCATCCGGAGCACAGCACTACTCCTTCGCTCTTGATATGAGTCACAGTGAACTGCCAGTAGGCCTTCTTGGAAACAGGCACCCAGGTGAGGTTGCCGGAATACAGACTGGAGTCAACGCCGCCAAGGATAACCTCACCGCCTTGCACGGCAGTTCCATCACGCTTGAGATAGAACGAGATGATGGGTTTGTCAAGCTTGCCCTGGGCAATCAGGTTGTCGAAGACGGTAGGGACATTATCCTCTGATATCGATTTGTAGGCGAGGCCCAGGATGCCAGCGAAGTGTGCCTGCACGAAGGTGCTACCAGGCTCAGTCAAGGCCTCGCCGAATGTCTGGTCCTTGACCTTAATGCCCGCCCAGGTCAGGGTATCCGTGGAGAGGATCCCGGACAGGCTTCCCGTTCCATACTGAAGGCTGAACGACTCACCATTCTCCTTGTAGGTGCTGGACTTGGCCGAGTTGTACTGGTTGTGGTTCTGGCAAGCAGTGTTAGACTTGGGGCACTTGGAGCTCGGCACCCAGAGATTGGAGGATCCAGTGTCGAACAGGATGTTGAAGTTCTGCTCGGGAGTTCCCAGACTTATCAGGCCGTAGTACTCGCTGTCCGCATAGTTGTGCAAGGTCTCGGAGGTCTTGGTGGCGGAGGAGGAGTTGGTGGTGGCCTCCACTAGGAAGGAGTACTTGGCCGCCAGCAGGGTCTTTTGCGCCCTTACGCCGCCATGGGTCTTGGTGAAGTTTTTGCTGGCATGGAGCTGCAGGCGCTTAAGTTCGGCGTTGGTCTGGCCAATTGCGACCAGCGCCAGTATGACGATCAAGAACAGCTTCATGTCTCTGCTGCTGAAATTCAAATGTTACTAAATTCTTGGTGATTGTGGAATTTAAATAGAATCGTTCCCCACATTTTAATGTTTACTCGCGGCCAAAAATAACGGCGAAACTTTCCATTTGCTAAAGGGTTCTGGCTTTCTAATGACGCTATATAAATCCATTTTTAGTCACTAAAAATATAGACATAAAGAATATCAGAGCATTTGGTGTTTGTCTTTAAGACAATCGTCAACATTCAGCTGTGTTTGCAGGGGGTCTGTGACCAAATGAACCTGGTAGCTGACTAAGTTTGGTAAAATTAGGAATACAGATAAAGCATTTCATTTGGCATTAGATTTACTTAAGAGAAAACATGTTTTTTGATCTGGAAATGTATACTAGAAGAAATAAGGACAGTTGCCAATATGAAAGTTAAATTTGAAAATCTACTTAATTATGCTTTAAAATGAAGATATAAATATTCTAGTGAATTTTTTAAGTTTTTAAGTAATTTATTAAGAAAGAAATACAACTAAAAACTCTTAAAATTCAAGATCTATATAGTATATTCTGAAGCGACATAAATTAGTTTAGAAAATTTTGAATTTTTAAAGTAAATCCATCTTTATTTATTCAGTTTATATAGAGTTAATTCAAGTATACCCACTCAATCTACAATCTCAAGTAAAAAACCTCGGGTTCTCGTTAACCTCTGCAAAGCCTATCCTCTCATTGCCCATATCGAACACCGTGTAGAATTTTCCAATAAAAATGTCACCCAGAATCCAGTACAGATTTCCCTGCAAATACTCAAAGCCGGAAATGCACACAGTCCGGCCTTTACTCTTAACCTTGATGATATATTCCTTAGGAGTCAAAGTGAAGATAGTACCACCAATATCCAGATAGACATCAGGTAGATAACACACACTCCTGCAGGGCACGAAGGCCAGGCCGTCATCATCCGTGGCGTTCAGCAGAAGATTAATCTTCCGGTAGGCGGGCTCTGGAACCACGAGTAAGCTTGTGCCCGTGTCGGCGATGGCCTGGCATCCCGTGCAGAGACGATCCCCGTATTCCCTTCCAATATCCACCGAGTTTACGGTGAACTGCCAGTACTCGGGCATGGAGACGGGCACGTAGGTGAGGTAGCCACTATAGATCCGATGGTCAATGCCGCCCCAAATAACTTCACCGCCAAAGTCAGAGGTTCCCTCTCGTCGGAGGTAAAAGGAGAACACTGGATACCTGACCAGCCTCTGGGCGATCATGTTGTCCCACAGTGTGTTGATGCCAAAATTAAGATCGTTGAAGGCCAGTCCCAGGATTCCCATGCCTGAGAATGAATCCGTCTCTGAGGTGGCCTCACCAAATACCTGGGACTTGACCGTCAGGCCTGACATACGGACAGTATCGATGGAGAAGAATCCTTTCAGACTGCCACTTCCGTAGGGAATGGAGAAGTTCTGTCCTTCCGGGACATACGAACTGGAGGCACTCGAATTATACATCCGCTGGGGCTTGCAAGTCGAACATTTGACACTTGGGACCCACAAAGTGGACGACCCCGTATCGAATATCACATTGAAAACTTGCGGCGGTGTTCCCACTGATAATTCGCCAAAGTATTCCAAGTTATCATGGTTGCTTAGGGTCTCGATGGCCAGTGATTGTCTTCTATTTGCAGGAATGTATCTGGCTCCTGTATTGGCCATCATTTGCTTAATACTTTTAACTGTTTTTTGGTGGTTTTTATTCCGAGTAATCCTAGTCCGTTGGGTTTGGGATTGTGATTGGTGTAGAAAAGCTATTACAGCCAACAGAACTATCCATGTCTTCATGGTTGCTGTTTGCTTTGAACTGTTACTGCATTTAAACTTAAATACTTTTTGGTATAAAAGAAAACGTGAATAAAATCGAAAACAGAATTTTCAAAACTATAAATTTGTTGAATAATAATTAAAGTGGTTTCTGAACTCATAATTCTTGTATTAATAATAATTATTATTCAATTATTATGTATAAGAAGTCTACGATAAATCTACTTTATGCCAAGACCCAATTTACGTGAAAACGTGTCTCTTGGCTTTAATTTGTTTTAAGAGAGAATTTATTTGTGGGAAGTCTTGGTTTTAATGGGTTTAAAAGAGAAAATGTTTAATTATTAATAATTTGAGGAAAAATGTAACTTTACTTATTTTAAAATGTTATTGAAATACAAATCTTTTATCAACCTATTAAAATGTGAGTAAAGTTTACCTCAAATTCCCACTACATTGCCTTAAATTCCGTGCTTTGCATTACCTAAAAACCCAGTCAAGCTTATGTCAGAGACGAACATCAGCTGGCCAGGGGTTGACATGTGGATATAGCCAATGGATTTGCATCCACAATCGCGTGGTCCGTCGGTCTCTGAAATATCAAACAAAACTGTGCCCAAAAAAAGGAGTTAAAACTACCCACAACTATTCCCTCTTTCTCTTGTCCCGTTGCAGATTCGAATGGTTCACAGAGCTGGGACTGCGCTGGTACGCCCTGCCCGCCGTGTCCAGCATGCTGTTCGATGTGGGCGGCATCCAGTTTACGGCCACCACATTCAGTGGCTGGTACATGTCCACGGAGATTGGCTGCCGGAATTTATGCGACACAAATCGCCGCAATATGCTGGAGGTAAGTTGCAAAGAGAGCTTTTCCCTGAAAATATATATGTATAGTAATTCCCGTATTGATAACTTGGAGGTATCCGCTTCCCCTTGACATTATCCTTGCTAAATGTCCTTGATGTGCTTGCCTTTGTCGCCGTTGTCGCGCTATGTGGCGCTTATTTCATTATGAGGCCACATAATATGCGGAGGATGAGGCGGAGGCGTAGTCCGTACCGCCTTTATCATTCCTGCAGTCCTCGCATAAAGCTCTTTTTGTTCCCGGAATTCTTTTTACCCCACAGCAATGTGACAAAAGGGAGGCAATGATGCTGCAAACTGGTTAAGAGCACTTAAGAAGCACACGGTCTTTAAGATGGTAATTGCCATTGGAGGAATTATTGCAGCTTTTATGCACCTGATTATAACACGGAAATAAATGCAGTTAAAATTCGATCCATCTTTCTGATTTAATTACCTATTCCATAGCATGAAAATGCCATTAGGAGTGCTCGGAAAATGTATTGAAATTGTATGACAGACTAATGCATCCTTGCATGTGAGAGATAGCTTGAACTATTCATCATAGTTTGGAAAATAAGGAGGATTTGTATTATTACTTGTATTCAGATTTGAGGAATTATCCTGCAGCATTCACACAGGTTATTATTATTCAAATGATTGGTTAACAAAATAAATAAGTACATTACAATGTGAGAATTTTGTACTATTTAAAAAAGTATTCATTTTGAGCGCAAAGAGATGAGAGATCATATTAAATTGACATTACAATATTTTAGTCAATTTCTTTAATTTAAATAGATAATAATAATTTAAATAGAAATACAAAAATTAATATTCCTTGCAAATAAAAAAAACTTCAACAGAAGCTCTTTCCTAGCTTTAAAGTCATTTGGTTTGTTAACCAGAATCGATTCCACTCCATAATAATCGATGGCCTGCGGTCGAATCTATAATTGATGTCCGGTCAACAGTCTGATGATGATGATGCCACCGATGTGTGAGAAAACCCCTGGGCCTGTAATTATTAAATTCTGGCCACAAAATCCGAAATGCCTGTAATCGAAAATCGAGCAGATCCCATTTATTTCCAATTAGAAGGCACTAACATAGTTGTTTTTAATTTTTTTTTGTTGTCCATAGACGGTGGCTCTGAAAATGAACCTGGACACCCGCACACCGACGTCCCTGTGGAAGGACAAGGCCGTCGTGGAGATGAACATTGCAGTGCTGCACTCGTACCAAAGTCGAAATGTTACCATTGTGGATCACCACACGGCCAGCGAGAGCTTTATGAAGCATTTCGAGAACGAGTCCAAGCTGAGGTGAGTCCAAGTCCTGATCGGTGATTATGGCCATATATCCGAGTCCTCCGTATCCATTTCCGTTTCCTGTGGGCGCTATTTGCTCGCACGTTTGTGCTTGTATGTTTGTTTATGGCCCAGTTGAGTTTGCATTTATGACATATCCCAGCCGCATGTTTATGGCTTAACGTGTTTTATTTGACTTGGCCCAAAAAGCAAACACACAAAGAGAACACTCTGCCGCGGAGCGTCAACTCTTTGCAGGTGCAAAAATAAATTTATTGTTTCCAATTTGCTGTCGTCAGCGTTTATGTAAAGTGCACGCGAGACACATAAATGCCGCACAATATGTCAAACTTTTGCCAGCTCTGGAGGGGAGGAGTCGGTGGTCTCCGAAGGTTGCCAAGGAGCCAGAGGCTTTGGCTTAACACAAAAATTAATATATCATTTTTTTTGTATGTGTTGGTTAAAGAGTTTGCTCGACCAGATTTGTCATAGCAAATGGAGGTTGTTTGTAAATATTTAATAACATAAACATTTTTGTTTGACTTTATTAAATTCTTTTATATTTTTTATTTATATATATATATTATATATTTATTTTATATTTTTTCTTGCTAAATTTAATTAATTGGCAAGCATAAAAACATATTTTAATGGGTAAATTAATTGATATTTAAAAAGTATTTTTTTTTATTAACTTATGTGAAGAATTGCTTCATAAAAGTATTAATAATAATTTTGTTTAGTTTTTTTTTTCCTATATAATACCCAAGAAAAGCCTTTTTCACAAATTTTCCTAAGAGTTTTTAAACCCAAATTATAAAAATTTTATTTTTCTTTCATCTCTGCTTTAAATTCCTTAATATTTGAGCATTTAAAAATTCTTCAACCTTCACCTTCTGGGGCAAAACACTAAATCAAGAGCCTAAGCCACGTGTCTATTTTTATGGCAACAGCCGGCGGGGGCAGCGGCCACAATTAAGTCACTTAACGTTAATCTCCCATTTGGGCCACTAAAAATACCTTTGGCCATATTTCAAATGGCAGCCATTTGCATTTACTGAATGCCAACACACCGCCCCTTCCGAATGAGGCGAAAGGATTCCGCCCACTCGTCAATTACAAACAATTACTTACCCGAAAGGACTCTCTGTTTTTTGTTCTCTCTGCGCAGGAACGGCTGTCCCGCTGATTGGATTTGGATCGTGCCGCCGCTGTCGGGCTCCATCACGCCGGTGTTCCACCAGGAGATGGCGCTATACTACCTGAAGCCCTCGTTCGAATACCAGGATCCCGCCTGGCGTACACACGTCTGGAAGAAGGGGCGCGGCGAGAGCAAGGGCAAGAAGCCAAGACGTAAATTCAATTTCAAACAAATCGCTAGGTAAGTACTTACAGCACCGCTTACTGTTAACGTGGCGTGGCGAGGCGACCTTTGCTTCCGGCTCCTGATGATGTTGCTCCAGTATATCCTTACTCCTATCCCTGCCTCACGTATGCTCTCGCGTCCCTGCACTCCCCCGCGTAATTGTCTATGGGCGTGGGGGTGTCCTCCTGTTGGCTCGTTGTGCGAGCGTGTCACATGACGGCATCAGCAGGGATTAGCTTTTAAGTAGATTACATGGATTGTGGTTTATGGCCACGGGGTTGGCTCCTGCTCCTCGTCGTTCGTTCCCAGTGTTATCAAGTCGCTTGGAAAATTTGGAACATTGCATCGTGTTTTTGTGGTCCTCGTTATTGTTATTTTAAATGTTATTCGCCGGGGATAAGGCTGCTGCTCCTGCTCCTGCACCTTCGTTTTTCTAGCTGGTATCTCCTGTGGGGAGATGGGTTTATGGGTTTAGAGCATATGTGTGCCACTGAGGTTGATTGTTATGCAAATTTGACGGCTTTATTTTATTCGAGGTAAAATTTAAGACATTTAAAACTTAGTTTCGCCCCTGAAACAGGTAAAGGTAAATTGTGTCTAGCCATGCCTTTAGAGCCATTAAATATGTAAATTTAAAGCGGGCTAAATTGAGAAACATTGGGTTGTATAAATTTATCGGGCTTTGTTCTTAGAGGAAAGTTTTATTTATTTAAATTTCAAAATGGATAGATCGAGAATTAACAGAGAATTATTGAGAGTTTTAGCTTTGAACATCATCATCCGAATTTTAGTTTGATATTTCTTATTGCTCTATATCAGCGCTCTAACTCTCAATTTGAATTAGGATTGCCATTTAATTACCTTGGTTTTTTTATTCAAATTATTTATGTAGATTTTAAGTGATCGAAATGAAAAGTAATTGCGAAATAGAGTGCATACTCTATATTTTATTTAATTACATAAAAATAGTTATCAAGCAAATGAAGCAAAAAAAAAAAAAACCCATAAGCTTATGCAAATCTGTGGCCAGCTGGCTTTTATCCTTACACCTCTATTCGCGCACCCATCAATTAATCGAACAAACAGTTGCGGTTGTGGGTCCTATGACAAATAAAATCAATTACACAATTATGGAGGAGAGAAAAACAAAGGGGAAAAACCGGTGAAAATCCGGAAAAAATACAACAAAAACATTCGTAACAGCCACCTGAAAATTGCTGTTAAATGAGCCGTTCAGGGTAATGATGATGATGATGATTTAACGACCGCACTTTAAATCATCACATATTAATGCCGTTGTCCACGCGTCCATATTTCCAGCTGAGCTAATTAATTTTAATTTACTGCAATCAGTCCTCTCCGCGAATAACTGCCAAATGGCCAGGCCGAAATTCATTAAAAAGTTATCAATTAAAATTGTTGCGAATGGCACAAGTTTCCATTAAATCGAGTCGAGTCCCTTCGAGTGCGAAACTTTTTATCAATATACTAAAATGGTG